TGACTTTTATCCAAATACCACATGCAAAAAAAGCCTTTCTACATTAAACACCTGGGGGGCTGGCTGGCTAGCTCATTTGGTTAGAGCACAGCTTTATAACACCAAAGTCATGGGTTCAGATCCTCATACCAGCCAGCTGCTTCCCCCCCCCCCACCGCCCCCAAAAGAGAACACATTAAACACTTGGGCAATTCAGAAAGAAATTTTGACTTAAATTGTGATAATTTCCCATTTGAGAAAAAGACAGATGAAAATTAGATGATATTTAGGTTAAAGAGTCAAGTTCCTTTGATTGCTTATTTAGTTTTCTAGGATAAATTTTGCTCATTTAGTTTTCTAGAATAAATTATTGTAATCAATGAAGCAGATATTGGCCCTAATCAAATGTTACACTTTGTATATCATTCTCTATGTTGAAGATAATAACTGGAATCACAATTTAGCAGTTCAACTCAGAGGATTTACTCACTGTTCCCTGTGAGTTCAGCCATGAATTTTGACATCATAATCAGCTGCCACTCACAAGTATTCACACTTGACCTTTACAACTGCGATGTCAGAAGTCTTGGTGGTGGGCGGGTTGGAACAACGTGGTCCAAGCTAAAACCATTGAGGAGTTTCTTGTTCCAGTGGCCAGTCACGGACAAGCTCATGACTAGCAGACTCAGATGGGAAAACCAGAAAACAAGAGGCCGTTCTAAGACTTCCTGGGAAATAAAGGTCCCTTTAATGGTTTCTTTAAATTCAGATTATGTAAATTAGGCGGAGATAGACATTCTTTCCCCCTTATGTAAAAGAATTTAGGTGAGGAAATCACAAATTCGTGAGAATAGTTTTAAAATTATTTGGGGCTTGACAATGTTTTTCTTGGCATTCTGTCAGCTATATATAGAAAGCATACTACGCTGATTCCTAATGACTTAGCAGGTCCCTCAGGCTTTGCTGCACAGGATGTGACATTTCTTCAGCCGACTCTTCCTGACTCCTTTCCAATCATGGCACTATTATTTTCCCTGACAAGAGTGACAAGATCTTTTATTAAAAAGATCAATAGGCCTATATATAAATTTTTAAAATGTATATCCCTGCCTCTGAAATTATCTTATTGAGAATGCCTTAATAATAATCCTTCCATTTTATTGCAAAAGACCCTATTGTAATAGCGGGGCTAGGGAGGAAGTACAGCTAATTATCACGATGAATCATTTAGCAAGGTGGGAAAAAAGTCCTTTGTGTGTAAAAATATCTAGTGTTTGGGTAAAAATATCTACCCAAATTTCTGCAAAACAGATTTCCATGTAATTTAGACATTGATTTCTTTTCCTTGCAGATCAAAAAACCTCCTTGATCAGGACTGGTATTGGGGGAACACTTTTCCTTATGCAATGAGAAGCCCCAGTAGGGCCATTCAGAGATCAGGATGCTTGCTTAAAGATGCCACTCCAGCAGTTCTCTCACCCCACCCCCAGTCAGTGATTTCCGGTCTCCTGGTTCCTTCCTAGGACTTTGGCTTTTACTGTGCACGAAATCACTGGAAGATTTTGAGAGCAGTGCCATGGTTGACTCAGGCTTTCTTGGATCTCACGGGCTGCTCTGATGAGACCAGAATGGAAGAGGACAAGGATGAATGTGGGAGATGTTAGGAGGCCAGTGGGCGGGTCTCTGCACTTTCTCCCTCTGTGATCCCATTTCCTGCCACTTTCCCTTTTTCCCTGGCTCCAGCCTCGTGGCTCTCCTGGCTGTCTCTTGAGCCCACGAGGCAGGCTCGCACTTCAGGCCCTCATCTGGAAGGCTCTTCCCCAGAAACCACGTGCTTCCTCACTGAGGCCTTCCCTGACCACACTTTGTCACCCACACAGCCCCGGGCCCTCCCACCCCCTCCACTGCCTATTTCTCCTTTGTGCCTGTCACCATCTGACATACTAGGTATTTGATTATGGTCAGTCTCTCCACTCATCTGGAGTGTGAGCTCCACAAGGGAGGGCCATCCCCACGCCAGCACCCTGGTCTGGCTCACAGTCGGGTGTGGCATGGGCGTCTGAAACAAGTGCCCTCCTGGCCCTGCTGTGGTGGGTTCAGGGCACCCACAGGGCACGCACATTGGCACCGCAGTTATGCATTCATGCCAGCCCTCCCTACAGTTGGGTCTCCAATGTCTGATGCCCATCACAGGCCTCTAGTTACCATTTTCTTTATGGCCCAGGTCCTGGCCAGCACTGAAGATGGCTTGGTAGCTAAATTTGCCAGAACCCCATGACTTCCAGAGCTTCTCATTCATGGAGCCCCTGACCCCAGTCCACCTGTGCATATTGTCGTGAGCCAGCTCCTGATAACCACTGGCAAGTGTCTAGGGATGCCTCGGCTCCTCTAGTCCTGCCACCTTAACCAAGCACCCTACCTTGCTGCCTGCTAAGCCCTTCGAAGTCTTTGTCTGGGACTCTGTTTTTTCCTGAGAAGGTGCGTCTCATACCAAATAAAGAGGCAACCAGCACTTGCAAATTTGGTTAAAATGTCTCCTATTTCACCACTCTTTGGGAAGGGCAAACTGTTGTATCTATTTTTATTGTAATTACTCAGTCCCTCCTGCCTCATTAAGCTTTCCTTCTTTCAAGCATGAATACCTGGCTGAATCTGCATAACCTTTTATTATTGATCTACCTTTGTTCACGCACAAATGATTGCCACTTACAGCTCTCCTACCAGGCTCCTTTGTAAATAATATAAATTTTATTTTCTCAAAATAGAAAGAAATGTGACATCTTGCAGGTTCCGTAGTATCCTTGTTTTGCTGGATTGCAAGTCCCTTTGACTTAAATAAATGTTGTGTCTTCAAATTAGTGGTGCACAGCCCTCAGTTGATAGAGGGGGATACTGTGAATGCCACTTTTGGCCCTGGGAACTCCTGACATGCCTCCACCCAGGACCAGTTCATACAACCCTCCCCCATATGGCCTCAGTTTCCACACCTCTTGGGCCATTGCCTTATACATTATAAATACTGCTTCTGTGACTTTGAAGATGAAAGTTCTCTCCCAAAACTATTCCCCATTGTCATCGTTATGAAACCAGAGATGGAATGGAAAATAGATTTTTGAGACATTTTAAATTATTGCTTGTCTTTAGAGGCAAAATTCAGATAAGAAAGCTTATCAATTATACTTTTGTTTCTACTCAAAAACTCATGACTGTTCACTGAAAGGCTCCTTCTTCTTACATTAAAACATTGTTTACAGTGTCCCAGATGAATGGGAACAAATCCCGAGGCTTGGTGTTTGGATGATACTTTATTCCCTGGGGAAAGAGGTAACAGTTTGAAATGGGGAGGGTTATGGTGGGAGAATGCTTCCCATTCTGAGAAGTATTTAATTTTGCAAGGGGTTCTGAATGAGCATCCCTAGTCCTTATTCTGTTGCTGAAAATAATTCCGGTTTGTTTCTGAAACTTTTGACAAAAAAAGTAAAAAGAACTTTTCAGCCTGGAAAGTTTTGTTTTGAAAGGCAAGCATAGGAATTATGAGTTGAGACTTGGACAGAGTGTCATTTTCTTTTTAAAGGATATGGTTTGTCAATATGTCTTTGTTATCTTGAGATTTAATCTAGATTTCTGGGCAGTTGGTCAGCCCAGCACATCTCCACAGGGCAGGTGGCCTGACTTTGGCACACCACCTGGTAAATCTCTGTGCCAGGGGAGGGGGCTTCATCTGAGAGGCCGGGCTGACTTTCAAGACAGAATTGTACCATTCACGCTAAAACACTCAGACACATACAGAAGTGTCATTTACTTCTAGGCTCTTATGGTAGGAGCTCTAAAGCTGAGTTTACTTTCTAGAAAATTCTAGCTTATTTTCTAGAAAATTGCATTTTATCACTGAAAAAAGAATTTTATTTTTATCTTTTTTTTTTTTATAAAGACAACCAGTAAGGGGATCTTAACCCTTGGCTTGGTGTTGCCAGCACCACACTCAGCCAGTGAGCTAACCGGCCATCCCTATATAGGATCCGAACCTGTGGCCTTGGTGTTATCAGCCCCGCACTCTCCCGAGTGAGCCACGGGCCGGCGCTAGAATTTTATTTTTATCTTTTTTTTTTTTATAAAGACAACCAGTAAGGGGATCTTAACCCTTGGCTTGGTGTTGCCAGCACCACACTCAGCCAGTGAGCTAACCGGCCATCCCTATATAGGATCCGAACCTGTGGCCTTGGTGTTATCAGCACCACACTCTCCCGAGTGAGCCACGGGCCGGCCCTAGAATTTTATTTTTAAATGCATATGCTTTCGAGCAGGAGTTTTGGAGTCACAAAGGTGGAGAAAGTGACGGCTTGCAGTGGCAACTCTCAAGTTCAATGAGGGGAAAAAGCCGTGCTCTGATCGGGAGACAGCTTCTTGCCAGTCCATAACCGAGAGTACATTCTGGCATTTAAGAAGTTAGCAGTTTCTTGGCACCAAATAAAGAATGTTGTGCCGGACAAAGGGAGAGTTATTCATTGCATTCACTACTAACCAAAGAAATGCAGAGAGAATTTTAGTCTGTTAGGCTTTTATGGAAAGGAGAGCCAGGCTGTGTTGTGAGGATCATGACCAGCATAGCTGGTGTAGACAGCTGACCTGTAGCATGTCTGTGCATATAGAGGGCGGAGGTGGAGTGTGAACTATAACATGCTTATATGCTTAAACCTCAAGTGCACAGCTAGAAAAAGCAAGTAGTGGTGCACTACAGTCTTGCTGAACACTGGGTAAAAAAATCATGGCAAACATTGAGCCTGTTTTGGAAGTGTTCTAAAACCAGACTGTTAACACAGTGAGCCATTGTAAATGTAGCTCGCTACGTGTTTGGAGAGAAACACATACTCTTTTATTAGGAACATGAAACAAACTCTTTGAGCTGCAGTATCGCTGCGGGTGAGTTTAATTGCTGGGAGTAATAAATCACAGCTGTGAAAGTTAAATTCTTGGCAGGATTCTTTATTCAGCTGTTTTCCCCTTGCCCCATTACATTCCAGACTTACGGTCTGCATTATGTTTGGAGCCAGCAGTAAGCTTGCGCTTTTCCTCTGCGGCTGTTACTTGGCTGCCCTGGGAGCCCGCGCCGGGGAGCATTGCACGGCTGGGTATCACGAGGCTGAGTATTACGTGGCTGCCGTGTACGAGCACCAGTCGATCTTGAGTCCTGACCCTCGGGCGCTCACCAACCGCAAGCAGGCCTTGGAGCTAATGAACCAGAACCTCGACATCTATGAACAGCAAGTGATGACCGCAGCCAAAAAGGCAAGAAATGCTCCTCAGTTACCACCTGAATTTTTCTCATAGAACAAAACGAATTGTACTTTAACCCATGGTCAGTTGTTGGGTAACCCCAGGCTTCCTACAGTCCCTTTGGAAAGCCAGTCCAGCTAGTAAACCTGAGTTGAGTTAGTTGGCTAGAGTCTTGCTACACAGAGCATCTGTGGACCAGCAGCATCAGCAGCACCTGGGAGTTTGTTAGAAATGCAGAATCTTGTCCCCCGCCCCCGGAATTAGAACCTGCATTTTAGCAAGATCCCCAGGTGATGCTTTTGCACTTCAAGTTTGAGAAGCCCTGGGCTGGCTAGATCATTGGTTCTCAAACGTGGTCCGTGCACAGGAATCACCTGCAAATTGTAAACAAATACGGTGCCTTGGCCCCAGAGCATCATTTGTAATTGGTCTGGATGGAGTATGGTCTGGGCATTGGAATTTTTTTAAGGCTCCCTAGAGATTCTAATGTGCAGAAGAATATGAAAACCACTGGACTGAGACATTCAAAGCCTAACGGAAATAGTAACCACCCTCAAAACCTCCGGTTCTGTCTTCAGATTATTTGGGGCTCGTTTCTGGTCTCTGTGCTAGACTGTGAACAGTCTGAGACCTCAGCCCAGACAGAACCATCCCCAAACTGACAAAGGGAAGGTCGGTGCCAGCCTTTGTGAAAGCTTCCTGCTTGGCCCACATTTCTCTCTCCTGCCAGGAAGGGTGGGGATGGAAGTAGCCTCTTGGGGCAGAGAGGGAAATGTTGGTGCCAGTGCCGGACATTAAGAAAGTGCCCTGCTGGGAAATCCATAACCAAAGGGAAGTTTGGGCTTTAACCTTCTTGGTGGGGTGACCAAGCCCAGCTGCTTGAGGAAGCCCCTCTGTGCCTCAACAGGAAGTAAACTCTGTGAGAGCAAAACTTCCCTGCTGTCTGTGAGCATAAAGGGCAGAGCCAGTCTGGCCTGCAGGTCCTGCCCCAAACAGCCCGTTTCTGAGCAGGGTGGTCAGGTGGCCTGGACGGCCATAGCTGCCATCTGTTGCTACATCTTAAATTTCTAGCCTATGACACACACACACAGAGAGAGACACATATAAAAATATAAGTATAAATACTGTAAGTATAAAATATTATGTAAATATAGAAAACGGATGTTGGAAGAGAGCTTAAAGACCTCATCTGGCTTCTTCTGATGGGTGATACTTTTTGTCCCAACCTGACATCTGGTTTCTCCTTGAACACCTTCAGTGGCCCAGAACTCATTGTCTTACTGGTTCCAGCAGTGGGAACTTCTGGAAAGGTCTTCCCATCAATGAGCAGCAACAGGCCTCCCTGTAACTGCACCCATAGTTCTGTCCTCGGAACTAAGGAGAACAGAGTCCCTTCCCACAAACGCCATCTTCTCCACATTTGAGGATGGAAGTCATCATTCCCCCCCGGCATCTCTCCCCTAGGCTCTATGTCCCCTGTCCCTCCCACAGTTCCTTGGGAGATTTGGTTTCCAGCTCTTCTAACAACTTTCCAGGCTTTTCTCTGTGCTCAGAACTGTAAGCAACTTTCCTGATTCTGTCTGATGAGGGCAGAGTGGAGAAGTCACACCTCTTGCTCTAGACGTTGTCCCCAGAGAACTTTGGCAGCCACATCTCACTGTGGTTTCGTAAGCACTTGCTGTCATCTTAAACCCCTGCCCTTTTTACACACACAGACACATGCTGCTTTTGCCATCCTGTACTTACAAAGTTGATTTATTTCACTTGAGAGCAAGACTTCACATTTATACCATTAAATTTCATCATTGCAGCCTGGTGGGCTATTCAGGGATCTTTACTGACATCTGCATATCAGTTACCTTCACGTCATTCACACGTTTGATACACACCTCATTTATGTCTATGCTGAAGTCAGTGTAAAAAAATCCTAGGCTGTGCCCTCAGGCCTCCTGATGACACCAGTCCACTCAAGGGCGGGCGTTCTGTGGACAGAGGTGTTTGCCTGTGTGGTGCTGAATCCAGCACCTGAGTGTCACTTACCTCTTGCCTCTCGATCCTGTCCACAGACCATCAGGAGACATTTGTCACACTAAAACCCAGAGACTAGGACTGCAGAATTCCCCTGTTTTCACATTTTAATAACCTGCCCCCAAAAGGAAACATATAACATGATTTTGTTGAATCCATGCCAGTCGCAAGGAATCGTTCCTTCTTTATTTGTGGTCCAGGAGCAGGGATGAAGCTGTTGATGTGTTTGCTTTTAGTACTTACAGATATCTCAGCTCCACTACCTGCTTGTATGTGTTAGAGCAACTTCTAAGGCAGACTGATGGCAAGCATGTGTCCAAGTTTCATGTCAAACTTGCTATAGGGTAGAGGTTTCTAAACAAGCCAATTGAAATATTCCCCTCTTGGTAGAGGCATCCATAGGGGGAAACAAAGGAGTCCGGTTTAAAGATGATTAGGCTGGCCAGTCCCCTGGGTTGGTGACCTTCATTCCTCAGGTGTTCTTGGTCTCATTAAGGTCTATCAGAAAACAGCTGAAGCTATTTATCAGGAATGCTAATTACTTCCTAGAAAGGATCACTCGTCACATCAGACCCGAAGTTCTGCCCCAGCTAAGGTTTGGTTCCTCTTCTTATTTCTGGCTATGTGCTCAGGGAATGCCATTTCATTTTCATATTAATCTAATATGTATACATAACTTAAATGTTTGTCTCCATAAGAAGCCATTCAGGACTGGCCAATTAGCTCAGTTGGTTAGAGGACGGTGTTGTAACACCAAGGTTGAGGGTTCGGATCCCCGTACTGGCTAGCACCAAAATAAAAAAAGAAGCCATTCAGTGATCTCAAAGGTTTGTTTTGTCTTTAATAAAGGAAAATATCTGTCCATGTATAATTTTCAAAAAAGTTAAATACATATCTCTTACAGAAATACAGAATGACCAAAGCTTTTATTTAACTCATTATTTAAGGAAATAACTGGTAAGTTGGTAAAGCTGGTTCAAAGAATTTGAGGAATACAAATGTGTATGTGTATGTCAGTTAAGTCCAACGAATGTTGAAATACATTTGCTAACAGAAAACTAATATTCTACAGGGCAATACAATTGTAATGTTTGGGGTGATCTTTTAAATAATAAAGTCAAACAGTGGTACATTCTCCAGATAATTAGGTAATCCTTGAGAGAGCCTGTTAAACAGTACCCAGTATAATTCAGAAAGGCATGTGTTCTTTTTTTTTTTTTAGTTGGCAGCTGGCTGGTATGGGGAACGAATCCTTGACCTTGGTGTTACAAGGCTGCACTCTAACGAACTGAGCTAAGCAGCCAGCCCTAGGCATGCATTCTTTATCTTTATTTCCAAGTCTGTGACAATTTTTCTTTACACAGTCATCGGTAAGTGCAGTGAACGAGCCTAGCATATTATGCTGAAGGGAGCCGATGTTGATATAACCTTTCTGGAAAGCTATTTGGCAATGTGTGTTAAGAACTTGAAATGTTTCATACTCTTTGACCCAGAAATTTTACTTGTACGACTTTACTCTAAAGAAATCATCAGAGAATCGATCAAAGATCTGTGTACAACACTCATTCAATAGTGTTTTGAACATACTGTATGAGGATGGTCACAACCATGGATCTTACTGAAGATCCAAAACCGTATATTTATTATTTTCTCAATTGTACACACACATATACAGAGAGAGAAAAAAATAATGAAAGTATGATATTAAAAATAAGTGTCCTTGTGATATTGGATTATGAATTCTTTATTTTTCTGTTTTCCAAATTTTCTCCTGTTAAACTTTTAAAGTTTTTATGACCAGAAAAAAATTTTTGAAAGAGTTTTCAATGCATTCCAGAAATAAGAGCCTCAAACTGCTTGCTATTTTAGATTATTCATGCCTTCTCTGCCTGCCTTCTCCACCTTCCACACTGGGGCCAGCCAATGTTCCAGGCTTGACATTTTAAGCCATGTAAGTGGAGAGCAAAGGCCCTGGAGCTGAGAGCTGAGGGCTGCCTTGTTTGTATTTCCTTAGCTTGCTGCAGACATCACAGGGAGCCCCAGGCCATCAGAGCCAGGGAGCCTCCAAATTCCCTTTTGGGGAATTGAGATTTCCAGGGAGTCCTTGTTTTTATGCTGAAATCAACATGCTTGACTTACCCACTGGCTCAGTGGGTCCCAACCTTGGCTGCACATTAGAATTGCCTGGGGAACCTTTAAACAAACATTTTTGCCAGACCCCACTCACAGTCAATTGAATCAGACTTTTTAGGTTTGGGCCCCAGCATCAATGTTTTTTCAGAAGTTCCCCAGCTGATTCTGATGAACGGTGAAGGTTGAGAACCACTGCACTGGAGATACCATGTCTGTTAATGGACCCAAAATTCAAGGTCCTTTATGATCAGCCCCGTCTTTCATTGTACCACCAAGAACACCATACCCCTCCTAACTGTTTGCTTGGCAAACGCTGGCACCCTTCAAAACAGCTTACTCATCCCCTCCTTCCCTTACATGCCCTCAGGCACAGCTAACGGTTCCTAGAGGACTTTGTCTCCCCTTGGGTTTAGGCCAAGTGAGACAGCTTCCCTGAAACTAAGATCCTCGATCAGCGTAGAGCCACCGTCTTTGTACTTCTGGTTCCTGGTACAGAGTAATTTCTTGATGGTTGCCAGATGAATGAACAAATGAATGAAGCGGTGCTTCCTATCATCTGATAACAGGTTGATTGTACTTTGATGTTTTGATTTACAGGGTGTACAGATCATAGTGTTTCCAGAAGATGGCATTCATGGATTCAACTTTACAAGAACATCATTGTACCCATTTTTGGACTTCATGCCGTCTCCCCGGTTGGTCAGGTGGAACCCGTGCCTGGAGCCCCACCGTTTCAATGACACAGAGGTGTGTAAGGATTCAGGCTTCCTTCTCAGTGGGCCAAGGGCACACAGAGATGAACCAAGCCAGGGGCCAAAAGCCACAACATGTTAACTGAGATTCAAAGGAGACCCTGGAATCCAAAAAATCAAACCCAAACCCTATGTGCCACATGTTCATTCAGTTAAAGAATGTCTGGTATCACAAGGCATTTCTCATCTATGGATCTTTCCATTTATTAGTGACATAAGAAACACATAAACAACTACATATTAAAAAAGCAAACCAAACAGAGGTAACAAAGTGAAAGTTCCCTTTCACCACGGACCACCCCTCATCCTATTTCCTTTCCTAGAGAAACTGCCATCAACTATTTGGGCATTCAACTATATTTTTCCTGCTCTCATTGTTGGCATCCTCTTTTCTAGCATGCTATGTGCTTATTCTTTTTTAACTCTTGCTATTATAAGCAAAGTTTCAATGAATATCTTTGTACACATATTTTTGCAATCATGTCCAAGTTTTTTGCAAGATAAAATTCCTAGAAATGGAATTCCTCAAAGGATGTACACAGTTTAAATCACATTAAAGTGTACCGAGTTTCTCCTTTAAAAAACTTTGATTTCACTTTACATCCCCAGTTATAGTGTATGAGTGCCTGTTTTCCCATCCTTTAGTCAATGCAAGACAGAATAATCTTGAATTTTTGACAGTCTTATGAAAGTGAAAAATGACAAGATTGAGCATCTTTTCACATGTTTGGCCACTTGTATTCTGTGAATCACCTGTTCATATCCTTTGAATGTTTCCAGTGGTGGTTGCTTTTTTCTTATTTATGATAGCTGTTTATATATTATGGACACAAACAAATCCTTTTTTTGTTTGTTTAATATGAAACAAAAGGCAGGATTTCAAAAAGGCATTTTAACTTTTTTCCCTCTAGGTCCTCCAGCGCCTGAGTTGTATGGCCATCAAGGGAGAGATGTTCTTGGTGGCCAATCTTGGGACAAAGCAGCCTTGTCATAGCAGTGACCCTGGGTGCCCAAACGATGGGAGATACCAGTTTAACACGAATGTCGTGTTCAGCAGTAACGGAACGCTTGTTGATCGCTACCGAAAACACAACCTCTACTTTGAGGCAGCTTTTGATACCCCTCTTAAAGCGGACCATGTCACCTTTGACACCCCCTTTGCTGGCAAGTTTGGCGTCTTCACTTGCTTTGACATATTGTTCTTTGACCCTGCTGTCAGGCTCCTCAGAGACTCTGAGGTGAAGCACATTGTGTTTCCCACCGCCTGGATGAACCAGCTCCCACTCTTGGCAGCTATTGAGATTCAGAAAGCTTTTGCCATCGCTTTTAGCGTCAATTTCCTGGCAGCTAACATCCACCACCCATCTCTGGGGATGACAGGGAGTGGCATACACACCCCTCTGAAGTCCTTTTGGTACCATAACATGGAAAACTCCACAGGTCACCTTATAATTGCTCAGGTAGCCAAAAATCCACAGGGTCTCATGGGTACAGAGAATGCAACAGCTAAAATGGACCCATCCCACAGTAAGTTTTTAAAAATCTTGTCAGGCGATCCATACTGTGCAAAGGATGCTCAGGAAGTCCACTGTGGCGAAGCCGCCAAATGGAACATGAATGCTCCTCCCACATTTCACTCTGAGATGATGTATGACAACTTCACCCTGGTCCCTGTCTGGGGAAAGGAAGGCTACCTCCAAGTCTGCTCGAATGGCCTCTGCTGTTACTTACTTTACGAAAGGCCCACCTTGTCCAGAGAGCTGTATGCCCTGGGGGTCTTTGATGGCCTTCACACAGTGCACGGCACTTACTACATTCAAGTGTGTGCCCTGGTCAAGTGTGGGGGTCTTGGCTTTGACACCTGTGGGCAGGAGATCACAGAGGCCACAGGGATATTTGAGTTTCACCTGTGGGGAAACTTCAGTACTTCCTACATCTTTCCTTTGTTTCTGTCCTCAGGGATGACCCTAGAAACCCCTGACCAGCTCGGCTGGGAGAATGACCACTATTTCCTGAGGAAGAGTGGACTGTCCTCTGGCCTGGTGACAGCAGCTCTCTATGGGCGGTTGTATGAGAGGGACTAGGAAAAGTGTGTGGTCTTTGGGGTGAACTCTGGCCATCATGTGGACAACCACGCACCTCCACAGCCCACAGATAAACATTGAGACCCCCTCCCTGTGCTAAGGGTGGACGCCCGCTTTTGTGGCACCGGATCCCACCCTGGGAACTGTGGGAGGAAGGAGGAGAGGCAGATTCCCTCAGTGTCTCCTCCTCTTCAACATCAATTAGACATTTTCTGGTATTCTCTACTCACATTTGTCTTTTTCAAGCCACATCTGCTGCTAGCAAATCTCTCAGTACACATTTGGTTTTAAGAGGTAAAACAGAAATAAATGTCAGTTTATATTTTACACATCCACAAAGCAGTAGTTTGGGGTTTTGTTTTGTATTTTTTTTTTCTCGTTGTTGAGCAGGGACACCCAGGAAGTCTCAAACATTTTCTAAAGCAAGAAAGCAAAAGGTGTCTTAGCTGTTGTGGGGACCTTTCCCATCGTGGTCCACTAGAACTATCTCCAGATGAAATGGCAGTGCTAGAGCCACCGGCAACGTCAGAAACGTAGTCCTTGAAACAGCTTTTAAAAATAGAAAAGAAGTTCTCCTCAAGCTGCCTTTCTGTCAGCAAGCAGAATGTGTAGGCAGGACTTGGAATAACTGGAAAGAGGGAGTGCAGTGCTCTGGGGTGGGGGCAAGGGTGGGCTGGAAAATGTTCGGAAAAGAGGGACAGCGATGGGAAGATCTGAGTCATAGAATTCCTTCTGGACAGTGCATCTCAGCCAGGGATTCCAGGGGCCTTCATAAATCCAGTTGGCTTTGGGCAAGAGTTGGGCAAGCTGCCACCTGCACAGGATGGGATGATGCTAATATAATTCAATTTGCAGCCCCATGGAGGGCCTCCCGTTTGCAGCAAGGCACAGCACCCCACAAAGGTAAACTGCAAGGACTGCCAGGGCGGTTAGCCCACAGTAGTCCTGCATTTATTTAATCACTCATCAAGGGTTTTTGGAGTGCGCACCAGGTACAGAGCAGGGACTTCCCCCAATATTAGTTCCAGACGCAAAATCATTATATTCAGTATTGTGAAGACATTTTTAGGCCACTGATTTCTGTATAACGTGTATCCAACATTTCCAAGCCATTTCAGAAAGGATTTTGACTCCATGCCTAGTAACAGTTTCTGATCATTTTTTAAATGCAGAATGGATCATTTGTTATCAGTAATTTGCCTCTTAAATGTTATGGCCATTTAGTTTTAACTCCTTTTTAAATTAGTGTTTTTTTTTAAACATATGCTTTTTTAAAAATTCTGAATTGTGTAAAGATGCAGTTCTCTTTCCATTTCCCTACCGGGTAGCCTTTTCTGGCTTAGCGACAGAAAAGCATGGATTCCAGAGTCAGACGGACAGGGCTTACATGCATGGCCTCACCATTGCCTCTTCACTGGAAGGCCTTGGGCACTTTATTTAAACCTTCTTGTGCCCCCGTTTTCTCATGTGTAGAATGTAGATTGAACAAGCCACGTGGGAAAGAAGCAAAGCCGGAACCAGCCCGTGACTCACTGCACCCTCGCAAAGGCTGGAATGAGGCAAGTCTGCAGGGAATAAGCGGGAATGACTCAGAATTCCTGAGGAAGCCTTGGGAACCCCACACCCTGGGAAGTCCCCCTGGAATGGGAGTGGGACCTCTCCCACCAGATGACAGTGCTCGCCTGCCCTCCCCATCCAGGCAGGCCGGATGTGGCTCCAGATGTGGCTGTCTACTGCCCACTCTGCTTCCCTGCTGTAAACCCCAGGGAGACAAAAATTATCTTAAAAATGCATATTGCTGCTTTGTGCCAAGATGATTCAGATCAGCCTAAGAAAGAGGGACACAGGCCAGTCCTAAATTCAGACTTGGTGGAGCTACCCAATAAACATTTAATAAGCATCTGCTGCGTGCACATTCTGCCCTCTGAGCAGAGCACCGTGAACTTTCCCTGAGCAATTACTTTCTACTGACAATTTAAAATGAATTGCTCATAAAGTAGAGGAAAAGCAAATAATGGTGGTAGAACAAAGTGATTTTGCCATTAAAAGAAGTAGCTGCCAGGTGGCAAAACAAAGTGAAGAATGAGAAAATGAATAAATACACCTATGACTAACGGTTGTGATATGCTTTTGTCAACTGTGATCCTGCAATTCAGGAAACAAATGGCAATCTTGACCATAACATAGAGGCAGGAAATCAAATGTATTTTTGGTGGTATCAGACTGGGGGAAGTAGCTCGGTCCACGTGGTTTCTCACATAGGTGCAGCTGTGCCTGTCTGTGGTTTTTCTCACAAAGGAAATGAGAGGCACAATGAGCTGTGTTCACAGTGGACCTAAAAAGACCTTTTTTTCAGAGTAGTAGGCAGAAACCACACCCTCCTCACAGGCTGTCCAGTCCCAGTGCCCACCGCACCTGCTCCTGAGGGGCACCTGTCCACAGCCCCTGCTGAGAAAAACCCATCTGGGCCACCCCATAGCACATTGGACCAGGAGTGGGCACCTGACCCAAGACCAGCCAATCAGAGGGCTGGCTGGTGGCTTGTGAGGTGGCCTGGCACAGAAGTTCTGCCCAGAGAAGGACAATGGTGAGTCAGCTGCTCAGTGAAACTCAGAACTGCTCAACACACATTACCACTCAGTGAACAAATGGTGTCTCCACAAAGCAGGGTTCTGTGTGGTGAAGTAGAAGTTAAGTTACAGCAGTATGAAATGTCGTATCCTGCAAAAAAGCCTGGGTTTGAAGCAAATGCTGGCACGTGTGGGGGTGTGAGAGGAGGCGGCTGTGCAAGCTGTGTCACTCCTCAGGCCAGAGCATGGCCCCGGCCTCCTGGCTGCCGGCTTCTCCATCGTCCAGCCTCCCTTCTGTGGTAGTTGTCTACCCCACGTAACAAGTCACCTCGAACTTAGTGGCTTAAAACAGTCACGAGCATTATTAACTCTCATAGTTTCTGTGGGTCAGGAATCTGGGGAGGGTTTAGCTGAGTCGTTCTGCCTCAGGGTCTCTCATGAGGCTGCAGTCAAGAAGTCAGCCACAGCTGGAGTCAGCTGAAGGCTACACGGGATTTGGAGAATATTGGTTGAATTGTGCCTTTTTCCCCCCAAAAAAGATATGTTGAAGTTCTAATCCCTATTTCCTGAGAATGTGACCATATTTGGAAATAGGGTCTTTGCAGATGTGATTAAGACGTATGGTAAGAGGAGGTCGTACTAGAGCAGGGTGGGCCTGTAATCCAATATGAGTGTGTCCTTACCCGAGAAGACACAGACACCGAGGGAGAAGGTGGCCACGTGAGGACGGAGGCTGAGATTGCCGGGATGCATCTGCGAGACAAGGGCACCGGGGACTGCTTCCAGCAAACCACCGGACATTAGAAGAGGCAAGGAAGGACACTCCTCGCAGGTTTTGGAGGAAGCACGGGCCTGCCGACAACTTGATTTTAGATTTGTAGACTCCACAACTGTACATTTCTGTTGTTCTAAGCCACCCAATTTGTGGTACTTTGTCATGGTGGCTCAGAGGATCACTTCCGAGGTGGCTCATTCACATGGCTGCTAAATTGGAGCTGGTTGCTAGAAGGACCTTTCCATAGGGATATCTATGTGTCCTCACGATGTGGCACCTGTTTTCCCCTGGAGCAAGTGATCCAAGGAGAGCAGGTGGAAGCCACATGTCTTTTATGACCTAGTCTCAGAGGTCACACTGCTTCATTTTTGCACTATCCTACTGGATTACGCAGGTCAGCTCTGCTCCCGTGGGAAGGGACACCAGGCACAGATGTCACGAAGTGACCACTGGAGACCATCTTGGAGACTGACTACCAATCTCAATTCAAATCACATTTCTCCTGTGTCTCACCTCCCAGAAGCTCCCGTCCTCAGACTGAAGTTCACACGCTGTGCGACCTCTCTCCTGCGCAACTGCCTCACGTGAACCCAGGGCTCTGTCCAGCCGTGGCCAGTCCCCTCAGCTCCCCCAACACTCTGAGCACAGCCTGGCCTCTGAACCGTTATCTTTGCTTGCAGTGGCCTGTTCTGATGAGGACAGTAATCCACCCTTCCAGGTGTCCCCGCTCACCACGGCTTCTCCCGTTGGTCTGGCTTTGCCGCCCAGTTCCCTGAGCCTCCTCGCTGGCTGTACTGTTCCTCTGAGCGCTTTCACCAGAACGTGAGCCGCGCCTGGAGTCGCCACCCTGCCGCCAGTGTCACCTCGGTGCTGATGCTCATAAACGGCCTCCCTTAACTTGCATGAGCCCCAGAGAAGGTTGGTTATGGCTATCCTGCAGATGGGGAAGACTGACGCAGAGATCTTAGCGAATCCACATGTAAATTTGTGCTGATGCTAAGACTTGCATCTTCACAGTGACTCAGAGGAGACCCACCCTCTGAGAGCGGAGCCAATGTCCTATTCATCGTCGTATCTGCAGCGCCCGGCACGGTTCCCTTGGCTTATAAAATCTGTGCTCTATACTTGTTGACCACTGAATGAACGAATAATTGGGTAGTCACAGAGAGTGTTTATCCCATTTAGACAGGCTGAGACAAAACAACAAAGCTTTCTTTTTTCTTTGGAATGTTTTCCCATTTTAGTGTTCTACTACTGACGTAAAACAAAAATCTGAATAACAGCTGAACTGTTAAAATTATCAGTAGATCTATGAACTGTTGGCTTCATGTACATATAACTTTTTCACATATAACTTCTCATTTTCTTTGCTTTTTTTTTTTTTTTTTTTGCTTGAAGAAAAAAAGACTATTAACTCATATAACTGGGGAGTCTGAAAAAGAGATCCCTTCCAGACATGGCTGGATCTAGTGTTCAAATGTGTCTGGACACGGCACTGGGCTCTCTCCACTCTGAATTCTTCTATCATCTTCTTTCCCAGACAGACTCTCCATGTAGTTGTAACGATGGTCACGATAGCTCAGGCTTCTTCTGACCCTCTCAGCAGCTCAAAGAAAAAGCTTGTTTTTCACACAGTCCCTAGAAGAGTCTCAGAACTGAACCTCATTGGCTCTTGCTTGGGCCACCTGCCCATTTCTGAGCCAGTTATTGGCCAGAGGCTGTGATATTCTGATCAGCCAGCACTGGCTCACATGCCCACTGTCAGGGTGAGGGCTGGTGGGCTTGGCTTTGACCTAAAACCCACGGTTTGAGAGGCAGGAAAGGTGGTTCCCCAAAGGAAGACTGGGGCAGCGTTACAGGGAAAGGAGGGTTGTGTGTGGTCAAGCACATGAGTGTCCCTCGGGCCTGCTTCCTCTAAGAAGTTCCATCTGCTGCCGGTTAGGTACTTTTGCAGTCAGAGCCACGGCAGGAAGGAGACTGCACATCCTGATTAA